TATGTACACATCAATTAAACAAATCAACATTTACAAATCATCTTTTACAAATCAATTAAACAATCAAAAAATAATAATAATTCTTATTTCTTCATAAATAATTGAATCAATGAATCAACAACTTTGTGACCCCGTACATCTATTTCACGCAGCTCACTTAAGGATTAACCTGCAGAAACCAAACATTTGCTCAAACAAGACTTCCTACACATCTAAAACCTACAAACAGCAAATTATTGAATTCTAGGTACTTAACCAAACATTTTCAAACCAAAAGGAGTATATATGTTAACAAAACTTGCATATGACTTACCAATTAACAATGGACACTTTCATAAGGATGCAGGTAGGCAGCATCTCGAATATTGCTCTAGCCATATAATGCCGAAACCACAAGCCTACTGCAGCTCTATCTCTATCGGTGGGAGGTAGAAACTCTGTGCTTCCCGTCGTCAAACGTGCCAAGCACAAGCATACGAGAGGACCACAATCCCCTCTGGCTCTCGGTGATTGTTGTGGCGCGGTCTCGTCTCTGATAACTGTCACATTGAACTTCTTTGGCTTCTTGTGTCCAGAATGAGTCCAATAATTAATCCCATCCAAGAATTTAGCCAAATGAGAGCTCCATCCCTTTATCATATCTCTCAAATCAGACAGTGATATGTAATTTATCATGCTGTCATACACTATTATCTTCAGGGATGGGAGCTGAAGTTGGACGAGAAGTCAATGACGACATTCCAAAACAGGGATAAACACCTGCAATCATAAGTAATAATTCATTTATTTGCGCACTTATTTATGAACACCTTTAAAAAATTTAAAAAATAAACACTAACCGTATCGACCTCCCACCATGCAGGATAAAGTTTAGCTTGTCCGTTGCCCAACGAAAATGATTCATCTCATTGATTCTTCAAGTGAACTGCGTGAAAAGCCGCTGGCATTATTGTATATCGCGAATTTTTTTTATTTTTCCTAAGCTTCCTTATTATTAGTAGACGTGACACCCACGCATTGATATGATGTTTTACAAAAAATATATATATTAGTGAATTACATTAATTTTTAAAAAATTAATCAAAATCATATAAGACAAATATAATACTTACCTCCCCATCGAAATAGCCACTGTCTTCAACCCCTAATAGCACACCCACCAACCGATCAAGCAACAAAAACATTTCATCGTTGAGTGCTTATGTCAGTGTAACACCCTTGGCTCCGCTCATGTAGATAAAAATCACTGCGTCTTAGCCCAAAGGGTATTATCCACAATTGTTTCCGGTAGTTATCTCCTCTCCACTTCAGATACCGGAAGGGTACTAGCCGGTAACTCATACGAGAGCTAACTCTCATCCATCATGTCCGGAACCGGTGGGGTTTCTCAATACTTTGATATATACCCTGTGAATCGGGCTCTGGAATGGTGAAGAGACCTCTTCACGATGACAGTGGCCTCTTGAACGGTGGGGGGGGACTCTTGAGGGAGGATGGGGCCTCTTGAATGATTGGAGGGGACTCTTGGGATGACAGGTGAGTCGGGCTTCTTCTTGCGAGTCTTCGCACCATTGGGTGAACAGAGACGTAATAGCACGTCCACGCCGTCTGATGCGTGAACTCCGTCGTGCAAGGAAAACCGACGTAAAGCATCCACCTTATCGGGCCGCTAAAAAAAATTAATACATAATCAGTAAATAAACAGACATGATATTAACAAAGATAAATATGTTTCAAACTAGCATTGTATTCACCCAAGTCATTATTCTATCATAGTTCACAAAATGCTCAGATAACATTCCAGAAGTAAGCACTTATATAAACATTTAAAAGGACAACATATAAAACATTCCAGAAGAAGAATAGTTTACTTTCGCAGCACGAAACTTAAATCGCAACGCGAAAATGACTATTGCAACGCGGAAATGGCTATCGCAATGCGAAATGAAAATCGCAACGACAAAATCGCAATGCGAAATGAAAATCGCAACGACAAAATCGCAATGCGAAATGAAATCGCAACGACAAAATCGTAACGCGAAACACAAATCGCATTGCGATTTTATTTCGCGTTGCGATTTTGTCGTTGCGATTTCATTTTGCATTGCGATTTGTCGTTGCGATTTTCATTCGCATTTGCGATAGCCATTTCCGCGTTGCGATAGTCATTTTCGTGTTGCTCAAGTAAACTATTCTTCTTCTGCAAATTGAAACTTGAATGGATTGCATTACTTCAACCAAAAGACAAAAACAAAACCAAAAAACAAATACTACAAAACAGTTTAGCAGTATTGGCATCACCGAATGAATACGAGTATGAAAAATCTTAAACTTACCTCGTGCGTAGAGTATGAACCTCATTCTACAACGATGCTACCATCTCACGTAGAGCGGCTACCTCACCGCGTAATGTAGACACCTCAACACCCATGCACCATCGTCTTTGCGTAAGTACCGACCTCCTCACGCAAGGCATTGACCTCATCAAGTAACTCCCCTAACTCATCCCGTTGAGGTGGAGTGGAGAACAGGGAGATAAACGTCGTGGCATCTTTACCGGTCGCCTCTTGCGGTGATGGTGGAGAAAAGGCTCGATGATGTGACATAATAGGTGATGGCTGTCGTTGTGGAGGTGTATAGTCGGGTCGATCAGATGATGGCTCTGGGTGAGGTGATAGCTCTGGGCGAGGTGATGGCTCCCGAAGTGGAGGCTGCTCATCAACCGTTCCATCAAAAAAACGCTTACTAGCTTGCCACCAATCAGTGGCAAGCTCAGCTTCCGTGGGTGTCAGCCTCTGTAGAGGAGTGTTGGCCTCCTAACACTTACATTATTTGTCGTATACCGTAGTAAATCGTCCCATTGCAAGGTCCGTTTCCTCTTCCAGGAAATAGCCCTGGGAATATCATTTGAAGTTTTATTGCATATGTCTTCATGGCGGGAAAGGCCTCAAATATCCAAATCTACAAACAATATAATAACAAACATTAGTAATTGTTAATAATTACTTATTTTGGAAACATTATATAAAAATTCTTACCTTAAGGCCCAAATAAAGCCTGTCAAGTGTATTTGGAACCATCGCCATGCAAACTTTTCGATCATCCAAGGCAGACGATAACTTATTCCATGTAGCTTCAACCATCTTTCTTATTCAACAATCTTGTCAGGTCTTCTACGTGTAGATTCGGCCTCTCCAGCTCAAGAAAAACCGGGATAGCCATGATGGGCGGGTAATGTGTCTAGTGTACCGACCTACATCATCGTGTCCGAAGCGTAGACCGGTGATTAAGCAAAACTCCTCCGCCCAAAACACGTATACGCCGGTGGAAAATAAAACCATATCTCTTCATCACGACGTTGTATAGTCTCTGTAGATCGCTAGTCATGGTTTGAAGAAACAGTGTGTCAACATCGCATCTCCACCGGGATGTTGTACTTTCAGCCATGCCCGAAGCATGTATCCTCAAACATTTTTCTTGTGCAGTGAAAGCTTCGACGCAATTGTTTTGACCAGGTTGACTTTATTTCTTAAGGTCAATTGAGCCGAATAAAGTTCTACAAAAAAATAAACTACTAAGTTATTTTAGATTGTGTCCAATCTAAATTGTTTTTTATATTTTATTGTATATTTCTATTATTTTTATTATTTTTTTATTGTATATATTTCTAACTTTTTAATCTTAAATTAGGTGATGTTCCATAGACTTTCATCTTTTTAGATTTTGGTTATTCTTTTCATGTTTCAAATAAAACCCATTGAATTGTTGCATCTGGAATATTGCACACCTTGTGTTTTGGATTAGGTGAACGTGATTTTTAACGTATATAGATCTTGGGGGTTACAGATTTTTTTATGTTATTTGAGTAAAACTTTAATATAAGTTTCGGGAATTAGAAAGTGACGTTGGAAAGAATATTAATTTACAGTGATTATAAGATAATATTTGTTTAAAGTTTTTTTGATTATTTAATAAAGAATGTATATATTTTCTGTAAACGTAATTATTCGATATTTTAACTATTAAAATCACATAATGAATTCAATATTATATAATTTTAATAATGGTTTTTTTTTCACATTCTAATTCCGAACTTCAATAATGATATTCATATAGAATGTTACATGGTTTATCATATTAGTATCATGAAGAAAAAAATTAGTAAGTAATAAAGTCGTAATGACAGCGAATTAGATATCTGTAAATTTATCAACGGATTTGTTGAAGTGGTAAGTAGTTTGATATTGTTTAAGTACGGTCTCAAGTTCGAGTCTTGGAGTATGCAAAAAATCTCCGTTGGGAGACTTACCCACTAAAGTTAAGTGTGCAACCCGGGCTGATCCAGATTAGTCAAGGCAAAGAATTTTAAATTGTATAAAACTAAAAGAATTTTATATTGTGTAACTAGATACTACCCAATTTAATTTTTTTATAAATTATTGAAGTATTAATACCTAAATTTAAATTAAATAGTACTATTATCTGTTGCATATTTATTTTTTTAAAATAATTCAAAATTTTAAATTTTATCGTAATCCAAATTAATATTCCTGAATTTTTCGATAAAAATATAATAGTTCGACTAAGAAAAAGATTGAAGGTTAAATTGATTAAAGAAGAATTATGACTAAATCAATAAAAGAAGTAAATAATAAGGATTAACCTATCATTAAACCAAATAAAATGCATTCAGAATAAGACATTTTCTTTATCTAATATATTAAAAAGACTTAACGTAAAGGCGTAAAGATATTTTTTTTCTTTGAGAATTCCCTCAATTAACTGAGGAACAGACAAACTATTAAATGCCAAAAATCCGGCCCTCAGATTTATATTTTATTTGTTGATATTTGCTATGTAAATCTATACTTTGGGCCGGTATGAATGGAGCGTGGAAGGTGGAACAATGAAAACCCAGGAAAATAATGCTTTATACCTAAAAACATATATACATATTATTAACAAACACTACCGCCAACCCCATCATTTTCCCTATCCAGTGTCTGCTACCACCTGAGGAAATTTCCATTTTTTTCCATTTTTTTCATCCATTTTTTCTTACTGTTTTTGTTTGATGAACAGAAGAACAAAGGAAAGAACCCATCTTGGAAGAAAAGGAAAAAGATTGTTTTCTATTTGTTGTACTTTAGAAGAAAAAAATGATGGGTTCTTCTTCAAAGGGAGGAGGGAACAACAACTGTGATTATTCATTTAAGATACTGTTGATTGGTGATTCTGGAGTTGGTAAAAGTAGTTTGCTTGTTACTTTTATTTCAAACTTTGTTCATGATCTTTCTCCCACCATTGGTAACTCCTCTACTTTCTATTTTCAACTCCTTTTTTGGCCAACTTATTGCTCTTGCATGTTGGTTTTGGCTTTGGGGTTCACACCCAGGATTTACTTTGATCTTTCTGTTGTGTGTGTGTGTGTGTGTAAATGGTTTGAGTCCCCTTTAAAATGAATGAAAAGGGTTGTTTTTCTATGTATTGGGTTGACACGAAATTGGAGAGGAGGGGTTAAAAACAATCCTTTTCGTTTTTTCGAATTGTTTATGGAATGTGAGGTAAGGAAAGAATATTAGTGACTTTGAGAACGTGAAGAGATGAACAGTTAAGGCAATTGTAAATTTGTAACTCAGTAGATAACCGTAAGAATATATGAAAGCTGTGCCTTTTTCTCTGTATTTTGTGTTCATCTTCTTGTCCTCTGCTTGAGAAATATCTTGGTCTTTATGTTCAACTTTATGTCATATGTTCATTGAACTTTGCTTGCTGTTTTGATGTTTCCAGGTGTGGATTTCAAGATCAAGATGGTCACAATTGGTGGGAAAAGATTGAAGCTTACAATCTGGGACACAGGTAATTGATGGATATAGCCAACACTTTGCAAGTTGCAACTAGTTGTTCTTACTTAGACCTATATTTTTTCGGTTTTTCCCGTTTGTATCTTGTTCGTTGCACACCTTTTGTGTGTGAGGCCCGTAGTTGATGTTGCTGATGTTCTGCTGCACTCATCTCGAGTCTTCGATCGAGAAAGAAAAGTGGGTTTTGAAATGGTTTCATCCTTGTTGGAAACAGCAGGAAGGTTGAAGAATGTTTTTGATGTTAAGTACTGGAGTAGTAGTTAACCGAAGAATTTGTCAAGATTTTGAAGTTTTTATTGATAGATAAATTTTGAGGAATCTCAAAAGATGTATCGGTTAGATCTTTGAATCAAAAGGATTAATAGAAGAGTAGCTTAGCAGTATATCTAAGTTTTGAGGAGATAAAATGATTCTAGGGGCCACAATGGAATCGGATATGACGCTTGATGTTTAGAATCCTTTTTGTTTTGTGGGAAAGTTTATAATCTGGTTCTAGTTGATCGCCCGATGGACCAATTATAAAACTAGTAAGTGCTAGTAAAAGGTTTGAGACATTCCGATAACTTTGCAACGATCATCGAAGGCTAAGAAGCTTTGGTGCTTTATACGCCAGATGATATTGTAGGATAGCAAATGTGCCTTAAAGAGTGATAAAATCGTATGACTGCTTATATGGTGTGACGTGAAGCGGAGGTTGCAAGAAAAAGGACATTCAGGCCTAAATTTTGAGATGATGTCCTGATTATCAGAAACAAAATAAATTTGAAATACTGCTGTAATTTTTGGAGAAACAATGAGATGCTGAAGTAAGGATGCAATAAGTGGTTAGCCTATAATCCTGATGAAATTGTTGCCAAAGCGTCTGAGAGTTAATCTTTTGCCAGTAGTGAAGATAGCGTTGATGAGTGCATATCTGAGGGGATGCTATCTTTCTTCTACTGGATATGCTTCTATGTGATGGAATCCAAAGAAGTAGATACTTAGGTAGCTGTAAAAGTAATTATTGGCCAAAAAAGAGCATGCCCGTGATAATATAGAGCCGAAGAATTTGATTTATTTAACTGGAAACACATAGCTGAAACTGAAAGTTCAGTCGTATATTATACCACGGGGTACCTTTGAAGTGTGATCCCAAAATTTCTCATTCAATCCCTATATGGTAATAGGGATCCTGCCTGTAGGATGTCATTGAGAAGTAGGATTTGTAAACGGCATGAATGGTTCACGGTTGGGTTCTCTATCTTAGAAACAAACTTGCAGGAAGCTCCTTTCTCCGTATGTTTAAGCATCGTTTCAAAGACAAATGAACTGTTTTAAGCATCATTTTCTGTTTAGTCATTAGTGAAGTCAAGACATGATTAAATGATACACGATTGTAGGTGTCCATGAGCAAAGGTAACTGCATGAGTTTATGTATATATACCGGTTTTAACCCTAGAAGACACCTTATAAACTTAAATCTCTTGCATCATTGTTTTGTAAGTATCGTCTTTTAGGTGATTGAAAACGTGGAAAATTTGTTAACAATATATACCAGGAGTTCATAATGGCAGAAGCTTAGCCTTAAGCATGGATATACTCCCTGTGCTTTCCATTAGAAGAGAGTGTCATCTAAGATAGTTCTTGTTGTTCAGCATGATTTTATTGAAGTTATTCTAAATTTTGTTCTGCCTCACTTAACTTCCTTTACTGTGGAATTCGAGTTGGGAACTTTTCATGCACATGATTCCTGTTTAATAGTATCTTTTAACGATCGCAGCTGGCCAGGAGAGATTTGGAACATTAACTAGCTCTTACTATAGAGGTGCACAAGGGATTATCCTTGGTACGTCCTTGCAAATCTGAACATTTAGTCCAAATATTTGCTGGTAATTTTATTTTGCTGAACATGGGATATACCCTTATCTATTATTTGAAGTATACGACGTTACACGGCGCGAAACGTTCACCAACTTGTCTGAAATTTGGATGGAGGAAGTTGAGCTCTACTCCACTAATCCCGAGTGCATCAAGTCAAGATTCTGTTGGCAATAAGTTGACAGGGTAAGCCTTAAAGAATATCCAGTCTCTTTTCTCACACAGTCTACAAATCATTGTATAAACTTCAATGCCTACGAAGAACGGGGCAGTGCTCTCTTAATCTTTTCCTGTTGTAAGATGCTTAAAATAGATGCATACAACTTGAGTTGTTCACCTTAAGGTTGTGTCCTTGTTCTTATGAAAAGAAACGCCATTTCCAGGACGTGAAAGGGCCGTAACTCGGAAGAAGGGTATAGCCCTCGCGCAGCAACACAAATGTTCTTTTCTGGAATGCAGTGCTAAAACCAGAGCAAATGTACATCAATGCTTTAAGATCCATTTTGAAGGTAATTTTCTTGGAGATGAATCCCTCAAACCATTTATGTACCACAATCCGATGATCCGATAAAAGAACATCTACGTACAACGATGTTCCGAGTAATTTCCAGTCCATGCTATGTTAATGCATTCTATTAGTTGCAGATTTTGGAGGTCCCTTCTCTATTGGAGAAAGGGTCGACGGCAGTCAAGAAGCAGATTTTGCAGCAGAAACAAGCACACAAAGCACCCGAAAACAATGGCTGCTGCTCTCAATGAAAACTACGACTACGCTCGACGAATATCGAATACGGAATAATGTTACACTAGGTGATGAAGTTCCACAACAGGCGTTTATAGTTGCGAGGAGTTTATGTAGGAAGTCGATCGTCATTCCTTCATTTGTAATTTTCTGAACATGGGGAGACAGAAGTGTCATCTTAGGTTAATGTAAATTTGTGTTTCCCGTATGTGTTTTTGGTCTTATTATTATTTTTTAAGAGTTTTTATGTGGAAAATAATATTTTTATGGAGTATCTAATTTTATTAAAAGGAAAAAATATCCGATATCCAAAATTATATTATAATAAAGGTTTACGACGATAACCATAAAAATTTAATATTTTTAAAGAAATAAGAGAAGTTATGTGTCAAAATGTAATGTACAAAAGAATTATAATAATATTAAGGTTTAAAATAATTGTACATCTTCTTTCTCTGGGGAAGTTGATATTTTTTCTAGTAAGTGATTAATGTTTTTCACATTGTCATTTTAAGTGTTTTAAGTGTTCATGATTGTTAAATTAATATTATCAACCGTTCAAAATGTGACACGTACTGTGTTTATAAGTGTTTAAAAAATTATTTAAAATAACTTAAAATTGTTATTATCTTTTAAGAAAATTTAAAATTTAAAAAAAATCTCAATTTTTAATCTTAAAGCATCAATCCTATTTGTTGGTGTCTCCGCCGATCATTTAATCACATATCATCGTCTATCCACTCATCGTTGATCGTAATCCGTAGTCTTAATCTTCAAAATCCCTAAATTCAAATACATAAATTCTTAAATTCTAAAACACAAATCTATCTCAATCGACTGGTGATCACAAATGTTAATAATGGTCAATGGCAGAATTGAAGGGATATTTTAGAGTTTTATGAATTTTGTGTATTTCTAAAAATAAAAATTTTAGATTTTTTTGGAAATTTATGATTTTTTTAAAAAAAAATTAAAAGAACTAAATATTAAATCAGTGTCAAAAATTACTTGATTGACTAATTTTTAACGATTTTTTATAATTGTGATGAACCAGATATTTTAAAATAGTAATGTTGAAAACGTTAAATACCCATATTAATCGGAAAAACTTTTTAAAACATAAATAGAAAAAAATATATGGACAATTATTTTATAATAAGCCAAATATTATTACTTACTAGAGCTAAGAAATATAAATTATTATTAAAGAAATAATCTACTAACCCTTATTCAAACTTAAAAAAAACGATTCAACTTAGTAGATATATCAAAAATTAAGCAGCTGGAATAGCTCAGATTGTTAGAGCGTGTGGCTGTTAACCACAAGGTAGGAGGTTCAAGCCCTCCTTCTAGCGTTCTTAACTTTTATATCCATTTTAGGGAGCAGCAGTAACTAAGAAAATATTGATATATTTAAGTAAATTTGTCAAAATATAGACATCGGCCTATTAGCTCAGCTGGTTAGAGTGTTGTGCTAATAACGCGAAGGTCGCATGTTCGAGACCTGCACGGGCCACTTTTGTATTTTCATTTTCGTCCTCAAATCCATCTCTTTTTGGTTAGCTCTTGTTCTTGCATGTTCGTTTTGGCTCTGGGATTCAAACCCAGGATTTACATTGATTCTTTCTTTTTGTGTGTGTCTGTATGTAAATGGTTTTGAGTTCGCTTTAAAATGAATGAAAAGGGTTGTTTTCCTGTGTATTGGGTTGGCAAGAAAGGGGTTGAAAACAATCCTCTTTGTTTTGTTTTTATGAAGTTTGAGACAGTGAACTGATGAACAGATTAGGCGATTGTAAATTTGTAACTGAGTAGGTAACTTACGCATGGATATTAATTTTGTTAACAATATATAGGAGTACATAATTTCAGAAGCTTAACCTTAAGCTACATAATTTCAGAAGCTTAGCCTTAAGCTTGGATATACCCTATGTGCTTTACATTAGAAGAGAGTGTGTCATCCAAGATAGTCTTGTTGTTCAGCATGATTTTATTTCTTATAACAAGTTAATTCTAAATTCCGGTCTGCCTCACTTAACTTCCCTTACCGTGGAATTCGAGCAGGGAACATTTCATGCGCGCGCTTCTTGTTTTAATAGTATCTTTTACCGATTGTAGCTGGCCAGGAGATATTTAGAACATTCCAGCTTTATCGGTTTGAAGAAAATAAACACATAGTGAAACGAATAGCTCAGTTGGTTCTAGCGTGTAGCTGTTAACCACAATGTTGGAGGTTCAAGTCCTTTTAAAGTCGAGATTCGTGTGTTAATTCAAAATCTTTTATCAGGATTTAATTGAAAATTTATAAAATATTGGGAGACTTGAGATACAATTTACAAAATAAAAGGCTACTTTTATGAGTTTACCAAAGTTGTGGTTGCGATTCGAAGGCCAAGTGTTGAGCACATATTTGTTTTGGTAAACAAAGAAAACCTATCTAACTAAACTAGTAAACGCCAGTGTTGGCTTCATCATGCAGCACCTTCCATACCCTAGCAGGGGTACGATAAACTTGGCAATTGGCACAGTCGAAGCTGTTTCTCTCTGCAGTTTTTGCCATGCAATCTGCTACTGAATTTTCTTGTCTTGGTATGTGTTTGATCCTCACGTCCTACTCTCATTTCAGCAATGTCTCAATATGCCTCAAGATTGCTACTCAAGCGTCTCTTGGGTATCCTTTGCACTGCCTTGGTAGTCTCCATACTGTATCGGTATTTTTACCCTGAAACCTTGAATTGTTGGCGGCGGCCTGTTTGTTTTATCTGCGACTCCTCCAATAAGATCTTCACTTTGATCTCCTTCTTCAAGCAATCACATTTTTCCCTATTGTGATTTCTGCAGCTTCCAAGGCAGCTTTAGATGAACCAGCATTACGTAGTGGAGAAGACGTGAAGCCTGATTCAAGTCTTCTTTGTGGTCATGAGAATGACTTGCAGAACCGGAGGAGTGGTTTGACCTCGAAGAGTGGTTAAAAGAGTAGGATCCAAAGGAAGAACTAGTTTGAAAACCAGTTGAAGCTTGAACCCGTTATGAGGGGAGAAATTTTATATATAGGAACCATCCAAGGAATCAAAGCTATTAACTGGTTCCGGAACAGACATGAGAAGGTTTTGTCAGCCTCGAAAAAGATGGTGCACAGAAAATGAATTGAAAATGCTTATCGTACTGAGGCAAAGTTCTAGACTGCTTGTTGCATTATTTGCAATCTACCAAACCGTTACTAGTGTTTATGTGATTCATGTGTACTTTCAAGTGAGTTTGAGTGTCTTAGCTATGTTCAGATAAAATTACAGAATTAGTTAGAACAGACACAATTGCAGAAAGGGAAGTTGACAAAAGGAAGTCTTAAGCACAAGGTTTGGAGGCCTTCTACCGTTACTTGTTTATTATGTATTTGTTTGGAATATAGCTCCCGAAACAAATCGTATATCAATTTCCTCTTACCATCTACATGGACAGACCAAAGTGCCAATTTGCTTCAAGCAAAACTAATGTCTACAGTTATCTACTGAGTTACAAATTAGAATTGCCTAAATTTTCTTTCCCTATCTCAACCTCCATAAACAATTGAACATACTGAAACGATTGCTTTGAACCCTTTCTCTTCAACTTCTTGCCAAACCAAATACATTGAAAAATAACCCTTTTCATTCATTTTAAAAGGGATCTACACAGAGATAAAGTCAAAGTAAATCCTGTGAGGAGAATCCCAGAGCCAAAACCAACATGCAAAAAAAAAAAAAACGGTGGGATTTGGAGGAGGAAAAATGAAAATACAAAAATGGCCAATACAGGTCTCGAACCTGCGACCCTCGCGTTATTAGCAGGACGCTCTAACCAGCGGAGGTAATAGGCCGACGTTTTTATTATCACAAATATTTTACATAACTATAATATGTTCTTAGCTACTGCTGCTCAAGTTTGCTGCTCAAGTTTGCTACTCAAGCGTCTCTGGTTCGTATCCTTTGCACTGCCTTGTGGTCTCCATACTGTCCGTTTCCAGAATAATCTATGCCACCCAACTCCCATGGGCATAGCAGTCCTATGTAAAATCCCTAAAGCTCAGCTTCTACATCGTGCACGTTCTAAGAAACTTGGAGGATGAAAAACGAAAATACAAAAATGGCCCATGCAGGTCTCGAACCTGCGACCTTCGCGTTATTAGCACGACGCTCTAACCAGCTGAGCTAATAGGCCGATGCTTTGAATTTGACATATTTATTTAAATATCTATTAATATTTTCTTAGGTACTGCTGCTGCCTCAAAATGGAGATAAAAATTAACAACGCTAGAAGGAGGGCTTGAACCTCCGACCTTGTGGTTAACAGCCACACGCTCTAACCAACTGAGCTATTCCAGCCTTTTATTCCTTAATCTATTTATTTACAAATAATCCATAAATATTTAGTTTAGCAAAGTTGCATAAGGGGTAGAAGATTATTTATTTTTTAATAATAAAAATATTTATATCTTTTAAGCTATAGTAATAATATTATCACAATAATTATTTGTTTCGAGATTGTGGTGTAAGTTGAATAAAGAAAACGATGATACGTGGTTCTCTTCAATTTTTTTTTATAATAACATATAATTTGACATTTTAAAAAGAAAAATAAAATAAAAGCATTGTTATGCGCTAAATGTAATATGCAAAAGAACGATGACAATATTATTACTTACTATAGCTTAGGAGAGCAAAAAATTTAAGGCATCTTCACAATAATTAAATAGTATAATTTTTCTTGAGATTTTATTCCTCCTTTTAATTTTAAGTTAAAAATTGTATTGTTTATTCTTTATGTTAAGACCAAAAATAAACAATCACAGTAGTTGAAGCAGTAATTGTTATCCTTAAAAGTTTTGGATTCGAGCACAAAGTTTAAAGGGATGATTGAACGTCCATTGTCAAACGATTGAAAGTTTTTGAAACGTACATTATCTTGTAATCACCTAGACTAATAATAGAAAGACAGACTGTTTTAATACTTATAAAACTTTCTTGAAATATTGCATAAATGATTGTAATAGTTATGTTAATTTCAAAAATGTGATAATGAGAGAGGGGGAGGGGAGTTTTCATGTGAAAGTGGCTTGAATTAGTGGAAAATGTGATTATGGTTATAAGTGCTACGTTTAAAAGGATTTGATGCGTTTGCTTCGAGTGGGATGCAACGCTTACCCAATTTGTACCT